GAGAAGTCTGTGTCGGCCCGCGTCACCTCGCGTCACCCCGCCCCGCCTGCTTCCCAGAGCCCTGGGCTCCGCCCCGCGCGCAGGCGCACGATCGCTTTTCGGGTCCGCCCTTTTTTGAGATTTGAATTTTCCCCAGCAAAGCGAGAGAGGCAAAATACCCGGATGATGATCGCTGGCCTTTTGGCGCCAATACCGTGAGCTCTCACAACAATCTTGAGAGGTGGGTATGGACGTCGTCCCGGCTTCCAAATCTTGCAAGAGGCCGCCCGGGCGCTGTGCGCTGTCACCCACACTGCCAGACGCGGGCTGTAGTGCAGGGGTCCTGCACTGGTGTCTGGGAGCTTGAAGCGACAACATGATTTTTTTTCACTTTCTCTCATCTTTATTTCGTCTTTATTTTCACCAACTTCTAGCCGAAATTTGGCCTTTCCCGCAATTCCGAATGTAGGTAGAGCACAGAGCGTTAGGCAGCTGACTTCGTGCCCAATGAAAATGGCAGATCATTTCAGATGGTATAGCTTTTGTTGTAGATATCCTGAAATTAACTAAATGACAGGACCTACTGGCAGGCAGAATAACTACTTTGAAATTACTGTAGTTATTCAATCTGCCCGTAGGTCCTGGAATTTAACCTATTAAGAAGCACCTATAGTACCATATCGCACATTTTCGAACATATTATATTAGCATTCTTTTGACGTTATGTCGTAATCCTGTTTTACTTTATGCATTTGGAAGCATTTGTTTGAGAAAGGCCAAAGGGGCCTCACCTGTTTGCTCATGCTACCAACTGTGCTAAGTGACCTTGGCCATGCAACTCCACATTTATGACACCCTGAGCCCCTGCCCTGTAAAATAAGAAAGCTGAGCTGCTGGTTTCCCGGGGCCTTGCACACTCACGGCTTCTCTCCCCAGAGTTGAGGAATCATTGTGGTTGCTCCAGGCTCCTTGGGCATCCAGGTGATCTAGATGGACCTCACTTACTGGGGGTGTTCCACATCGCAGCCCTTGGGCTGACTTGACGTCCCTGAGGGTGGTTAGGGAGAAGCAGTTGTCAAATGCTACAGGCCAAAGAAGCCACCACTGTGACAGGTGACTGTGGCTATAGCTTAAATGCTTACCGCCCAGGAGGCAGAAGAATCTAAGGAATATGTGTTAACCCCTTAGCCTCTGCTTTGCAGGATGTCCCCCCAGAGACCCCAGAACAGCCAGCCGATGCTGCGGAGCCTTCGGCCTTTGTGTGCCAGGCGCTGGGGGAAATCTGTGAACTTGGAGTGTCCCGTAGCAAGGGTCATGGCAGTTCAGGGGTACAGAGGAGCCAGGCCAGAAAGCACCCTGCAGTGGTCTTCCTGGAGAACTTGGGAAATTGGTTTGATTACATTGTTGCTTTCAGCTTGCACAAGGGCCCAAGTGGACTCTCCCCAGCTTCCGGAGGGGAGTCACTTTCTGTGTCCTTCCTGGATCTCCTTCCCTATCAAGTTGACAGTGTTTGACTCCTGTCCCCCACTCTCCTCCATGCTTGCTGGCAGACAAGAGGGTCAGGCTAGAGCGAGCATAATGGGGTCCTGAAGGCCTGGCACTTCACCCCAGGGAGCTGGGGCCCCAGATGGGTGCAGAGAGGGACCTGGAGACCAGGTGGGGCCTCAGCTCTCCTCCCAGCCGAAGTCGGGAGTTGAACAGGGAAGCGCCTGAGAGGAAATGACAGCTGAGTTGGGGTTGTGAGCAGGCCATGTGCGGGAAGGAACAAGGACCACAGTCACGTTCTAGCTGGAGGGCAGACTGGGCCTAAGAAGCTCGCAGGGCTATATGGGATTGGCACTCCGATGTCTGGCCAAGAGTGTGTGGAGTGGAGAGCCAGCCACTGAGGTGTTGAGCAGGGGCTGACACGATCCGATCCAGTGACACTCGAGGAAGATGCTGGGGACTGCTGTGTGCAGACCACTCTAGTGGCTGCCAGCCCGGGAGTAGGAACCCTTGGGCAGGGGCTGCCTGGAGGCTCCTTAGCCGAAGGCGGGGCGGGCGGGGAGGTGTGGGATAGTGCCACATCCCGCTGAGGTGGAGGCTCGTGGTCAGTGAGGAGATGCAGAGCCAGGGTGAGGGCTTCCGTTCACCTGGGCCAACGCCAGACCTTGTGGTCCTCCACAGAACAGACCCCCGAGGCAGGACAGACAGGAGCAAGAAAGCTCAGCGTGAGGCCCAGCAGTTCCCTCCCCGGAGGAGGCAGGTGGGCCCCTAGGGCCCGGCTGAGCAGTGAAGTGGCAAATAGGACCAATGAGAGAGAAAGGAAAGAGCGCAATGGTGTTGGCTTGGTGCTTGGGTTGAATTGAATCAAAATGGAGCAGCTCTTCCCTGAGCCCCAGAGGGAGAGCGAAGGATCAGCCCCGACCTGCCCTCCCAGGGCCTAAACTACAGGAGGGGAATAGACATTGTGCCTCAGGAATAAATGGGGCCAAGTGGTCTTCGTATATAAGAACTCATTTAATATACACTACGCCTCCGCAGGGAGGTACTGGTAGCACCCCCATTCCACAGGTATGCAAACTGAGGCCCAGAACGGTTACGGCCCAAGGTCGCACCGTAGGTAGAGCCGAGGCTTGAACACAGACAGCTCCTCCCTTCCCCAGGCCTGCCTGCCGTCTTGGCTTCGAGTCATTTTCAGAGCACTGAACCTCTCCTTTCTTTGACATGAATACGTTTCTAGGCTAGTAGGCCAACTCACAGCACAGCCGGCCCCAAAGCAGTTGATAGTCAATGATAAGTCTCCATTGCTTTTAAATCGTCTGTTTCCGTGACTGCAGGAAATGGAAGGTTTCATTGTGAGCCAAGGCAAGAAGGTGATTTGGGGATGGCATGGCGCTTTAGGGGAGGGCAGGAGGGCGGGCCAGGGCCTCACACCAGAGAAGAAGAGGGAAGATGCTCATCTCTCTCCTCCCCCTCCGCCTCTTCCCCCTCCTCCTCCTCTCCGTCCTCCGGCACCACCATACCATCTCATGCCTTTGGGTTTGAGAACTCAGACCACAGCTAATGGTCTCTAGTTCAACTGGGTATTTGGTTAAAAGGGCTTTGGGGCTAGCCTGGAAAGCTGCACATTTATGACGCCACTGAGGTAGGAAAGCCTGTTCTGAGTTTCACAGCAGACCCAGGAAAGGCTGGATTCCCTAGATGCGGTGGCCCCAAGGGAACTGGGACAAGGAGCAGGACTTTCATAGTCCGCAGATGAAAGAACGGAACGGCATCAGCGCCAGGAGAGAGAGGCGCGAAACGCCTCGGCGAGAAAGGATCCTGCGGGCGTCTAGAGGCCACGTGTACGAAGGTGAACGTGCCGTGGGTATCGCTTCACTTTTCTTTCGGGTTTTGTTTTGTTGTTTTTTTTTCTGATGGAAACTGTTGGTGGATCCTGAGGCCGAGAGTCGGGAAGATGGAGGCTCTTTTTTGGATGGTTTTCTTTCTAACCACACTCTTTTTCTAACCACAAAGGAAAAAGGCAGAACGGTCCTCCACTCGTGCCAGCCAATCAGCAGGACCCCCGCCTTCCTCTGGCCTGCCACCGCCACTCCGAGGCAAGGTCGCAGCGTCTGCGTCGGAAATCACGGGGACTCCTTCCTGCTGGCTCAGCTGGGAGGCTGAGGTCTGTTTTGCAAAAGCTGTTTATCTGAATGCTGAATAAGTGTGGAGACTGCCATTCTTTTAAGCTCTCCGCCCCGGGTTACAATCGGGGTTCCAGATGAAGCCCGAGTCGGGGTGGGCCCTCTGCCACGTGGCTGTGGCCAGCTGCCTCTGTGTGGCCACTGTCTCCACGGGCGTTTTTGAAGGCGTCTTCGTCCAAGTGGGCTACGAACACTATGCAGAAGCCCCGGTAGCCAGCCTCCCCGCCTTCCTAGCCATGCCCTTCAACTCACTCATTAACTTGGCCTACGTGCTCCTGGGAGTGTACTGGCTACAGAGAAATGCCAGCACCCCACAGCGCCCCGAAGCGGTGCGGCGGGCTCGTTACCTGAAGGACGTCTTCGCCGGCATGGCCCTGGTCTACGGCCCAGTGCAGTGGCTGCGGATCGGGACGCAGGCGCACCGCGCCGCCGTGCTGGACCAGTGGCTCACCTTGCCCATCTTTGCGTGGCCGGTGGCGTGGTTCCTCTACCTAGACAGGGGCTGGAAGCCCTGCTTGTTGCTCACCGTCGAGTGCCTCTCGCTGTGCAGTTACGGCCTTGCCCTGCTGCACCCCTGTGGGTTTGAGGTTGCGCTGGGCGCGCATATCGCCACTGTGGTGGGCCAGGCCCTGCGTGCCCAAGGGCGCTACGGCAGCGCCTGCTCAGGCGTGTACTTGGCTGTGGGTGTGCTCTCCTGCCTGGGCTTTGTGGTCCTCAAGCTGTGTGACCATCAGCTGGCACAGTGGCATCTCTTCCAGCGGCTCACGGGCCACTTCTGGTCCAAAGTCTGTGACGTGCTCCAGTTCCACTGTGCTTTCTTATTTCTGACAAATTTAAACACTCGCCAGAGCCTCCCTCCCGAGGGGAAGATGCGTTAACGTGTGGAAAGAAGCTACTTACAGCACGCGTCCAAATGGACAACAATCAGATGACATTTTGTCGTTAGTGTTACCTTTCCTGGGTGTGGTCACATATGATGATTACACGGAACACTGTCCCTTCTTTCAAAGTTACGGGCTTCAATACTTAGGGGTGAAATGTTATACCCTCTGCAACCTACTTTCGAATAGATAAAGCAAATATCTAGGGGTGGCGGATGTGGGGGTTTGTTATACTCTTCCTGTAACTCTTCCGTTGTTTGAAAATTTTTAAATAAAATGTCGGGGGGAAGCGACCCCAAGAAATTCATGACGCTCACAGTCGGAGAGAGAATGGTTGAATGCAATAGCTTTAGGATATCGCTTACAAGGGTGGGCCGGTGATGGCTGGATAGGGTAGCTTCTGGACAATGCGCCAGGCCAGGCAGCGGGGTTACCAGTGACTGTCCCCAGAGGTGAGGGTTCAGGGATAGTGAGTCACATGTCCATCAGACGGATGTGGAAATCAGAAGGCCAGAGCATGAACTCATCGTAGCATCTTGACTGCCAAACTGACGGCAGGTCACATGGAAGACACGTCACCTCGTATCCTTTGTGGAACAAGGCAGGGTGGATCTAGATGAAGAAACACACTCAAATGTCAAAAGTTGAATTCTCAACAGAATGTTGCTCGGTAAGTCTAGTCTAAGAGCTAGGGTGTGTCTTACGTGTCCTTAGAGGCTAGGATTACTGAAGTGTCACATGTCTGTGGCCACTGGAGAGACCTGCACCGTGGTCTCAGCAATCCGCACATCCCTGTCACCCCAGGTCCTTAGGAACCATGATCTCCCGATGGCAGCTCAAGGCTGTCCCCGGAGTTGGAATGTTTAAGCCCCTCTGTGTGCTTCTCGTGCGATGACAGTGAGTCGGCGAGCGGGGGGCGAAGCTGGGGCTGAAGAGACGCTGAGGATTCTGCCTTTGGGCTGTTCTCCGCAGACCCCTAGAGACTGTCCCCCTGCGCATACTTTCTCCCCACTTGTTAATGTGTTTTTTCAATGTCTGTTTCATTCTCTGTCACCTGGAAAGCCCTTGGTCTGTAAAAACAAAGGTGAAGGCAGAGAGAGGACACTCTGTCCCTGTCAAATGGCATCTCAGGACTGGACTTCCATATGCATCTGCTCAGTGCTCCCCAGAGCCCCTTGGGTTGGCGGACCGTTGCTATGACTACCAAGATACTTTTGAAACTGCGTACCCGAGCCAGATATTCTGTCCCAGCTGGGCACATGTGAAATGAGCGGCTGGTCTCAACCAAGCCGTCACCTGAAGAACCCAGCAGGTGAGGGCCTATGAGCATTGCCTCTGCCTGGGCACCGGCCGGCCAGCCTCCACCCCTCCCCCAAGCCCTGGGCAAATGGCGGGGCCTGCCCAGGACTTGGGGCCCCGAGGCAGGGCATGCTGGCAGGTGAAGAGCAGGGGTGGCATTTGCTCGGGGAAGCAGCTTTGTTACATGACAGTTGTCTCGAAGGCTCTATATGCCGTAGAAGAGGAAAAAGGCCATGGGTGTCCCCAGAAAGGCCGCCCGGACCTCAAAGGGGCCAGAGGGAAGGAGAGGGGAAGGAGCGCTTCCCTGGGGGTCTCAGTTAGAGGTGGGGTGGCAGGGTGGAAGAATCGGGGGTGGGGGGCAGGCTCTTCACCTCCTGTCCGGGTGATTTCTGCCCCTTTTGCTACTTCTCTCAGTAGCTATTTCCCTGATGGGCCCCACTGAGGATTGTTGGGGCTTGGCATGGCCTTGCTCATTCCACACCTTTGAGCCACAAGAACCGATAACTTATTTTATTTCCACCTATAGTTACTTAACAAATAACCCTGAGAACCTTCTGGTTTTCACTTCGCTCCTGTGTCAGGCTGGGTCCCCACAGGATACAGGTGGCACGGTCAGATTACGGTGATTCGGGACGCTTTCGTGGAGGACTAGAGCACCATCCTGCGGGGGGAGGGGTACCGCGGGGTGCCCTCAGCACTCCAGAGCCTGGGGTGACCCTGGGCGGGGTAAACTCTGCCCGAAAGAGACACTCCTGTGGGAAGGATGCCTCTGGTGGGACAGAGACTTCCAGAAGCCCAACCCCACTCTCTCTTGCTGGGGCTCCCGTCCAAGGTCATCAGAGGAAATGCAGGACAAAATAATGTTTTAGTACCGGTGTATCCAAAATATCACACGAGATGTGTTTATGTTGAAAAATTGTTCATTGTCATCTGAAATTCAGCTTGAACGAGGCATTCTGTCTTTTTGCTACATCAGATAACCCTCCGTTGAACCGACCCAATTCAAGCTAGAGGCCTGGAACCTTCTCTTTCTGCCCCCTGTTTTTGATCAGTGTTTCTCAAAAGGTGTGGCCAGCATTAGTCATGCAGCCTCCTGGTCCCCTCCAGCCCCAGGAAGCCCTGGCCTCTGAGGCCGGGACCACAAATCGCCTCAGCCCTGCCGCCAAGTTCAAGGGTGCCAGCAATGTTTGAGACATTAGAGGAAGAAGGCTGGTGGCTGTGGCCTGGCCCAGCTCTGCTCTGAGAGTCCTCGCCCCTCCCTATTCGTTTATCTGTTGTTACTCCCACCATCTCCATCTTACTGTCCCCCACCCCGCCCCGCCATCCGGCACAGCCGAGAAGCCATCGGTTACCAAGTGGGCCCTCTCCCCGCGTTCGGCCTAACGGTTTAGAGGTTCCAAAGCTGGGAGGAATCTTAGAAGCCATCTGCACCAACCCCCTCATTTCACAGAAACTGAAACTCTAGAAGTTCCAGACTTGGCTGCAAGTTGCAACACTGAGCATCAGAAACCCAGGCGTCCCGCCTCCCAGCCCAGAGCCCTGTCCACCTCCATCACTCCACCTCTCCCTGGAAGCGGTGACAATGGCGTTGCCACCTGGCCTCTTCCCAGCCTTGCCATACCACGGCCTGGGGATTTGCCCCGCCAGTGAAAACAGCCGTGTTGATTTTGCTGATTGCACAGGTAATACAGGCTCATTCGTGGCGGACGATGAGATCCCTGAGGACTGTCAGGAATCTGGTGGCCCCACCATGGGACATGCACTCCCGAGCACTTGCTCTCCGGACACCACAGGGAAGGGTGCAGATGCCGCCCCAGGCCCCGTTGGGTTTCAGTGACGCTCTGTGCGTGGCTGGGGCCGGTACCGGCCTCCTTCCCCCTTGTCCTCATCCGACGCGCTCATCTGTTGCCAGCAGTGCCCATGGGCATCTCTGCGTCCTGCGGCTCGCCCTTCTCCGGTCACTGTCAGGAGTGCGACTGAAGCGCACGTGGGTTTTAACTCCCTGGGTTGCTTTTCCCAGTGATGCTCATGATTCACCTTTTTTTCTGCCGGCAACGAGAGAGGCCTCCCCGGGCCCCCACCCACCAGCAGGTGTTAGCACGCTTTTTCATTTTGTGCCAATCTGATGGGGGCGAAACAAGTTCTCATTGTGACTCGAACTCATGCCTCCTCCACACACACACGCACACGCGCACGTGCACGACCGGCGCGCGTGCGTTCGTCCGTTGGGAGTTTGCGTTTGTTCTGGAAGTTGCTCCCTCGTAGTCCTTGTTCATTCTTCTCAAGATTTCTATATGTCTGTCTTGCCCTTCTTAGCTTTTGAGTTTCTGGTCTCGCTTAAAACGGTTTTCTGGGTGTCTACATTCTACTTGTCTACACATCAGCTAGCTTTGTCAAATCTTAACGTCTCCTCTAGCTGCTTCCGATCTTTTGCATTATAAAAGTTTAATTATAAAATTATGAAAGATAATAGTTGTTATAAAAAGAGTTCAAATTTACATTTGGAAATAAAACAGCGCAGCTGTCATCATTGTTAACATGAGCGTTTACCAGAGCGCGGTTCGCTGGCACATTTAGCGATCACGTGGAATTGAGGAGAGAAAATTCTCAAACCCCGTGTAAGATGTTTTCGTCGCACCCTGAGAGAACAAAGGAGATTTTGTTTCTCCGCAGTTAAAATTGGGCACATCCAACAGGCAAAGCATTTCCCTCTCACCTCCGAAGATCTCCGTGAGTAGAAATCTCTGAGTAAATATCAACTAGGTGATTTATGTCGTCGAGCAAACCCCCAAGTAGTCACGTGATCAGGGCACACCTCTCCCCCTGCTAAGTGGAGGCTCGGGTCCCGTTTTTTTGTTTTGTTTTGTTTTGTTTTTTGTTTTTTTTTTGTTTTTTTTTTTCCCCCCGGCCCCAATATGTTTCCGTAACCCTGTGCTCGTTGCTAAGACAAGCAGTCTTCAACCCAGGTGCCCCTTGAGTCCCCGTTGCCTCTCTTGTGAATGTCCTGGTGGCTACTGGGGCCCTTGGCCGGGCAGGGGGCTGGCTGATTGCCAGGGCCTGGCTCCTGTGCTTCTGAAGAGCTACTCAAGCCTGGTGGCTATTTGCAGGCTGGGTCGTGGTAGCACAGCAGGTCCCTCTAACCATTTTCATGTTTTTCTAGTCTTTTCTTCCGTTTGCCGTTTTTCGCTTTGATCTTTGCTCTCTGCTTCTCTTTAGAATTGCTGACTTCTGGTTTTACTTCTGCCTCTTCTTTCTCGGCCCCGCCTGACTTCCACTGGGGCCTCTGCCAGGGTGTCTGCACTGCCACCCTCTCGGCTGGCGCAAGTCTCTTCCTTTGAAAGACATGAAACCCAACAGATTGAGCTGGAGGCCCATCTGTGCCCCTCCCGCCCCAGAAGTAACCACCATCCGGACCTGGGTATACCCCACTCCCTGTCTCGCGTGTGGTGTAACTTTCTATAAATGTATCACGTCTTCCAGATCCTTCTCCCACTGGCTGCAGGACCTGATTGATGGGGGTTCCCTCCAAGTCTCCTGGGGCGCCCGGTTCCTCCTTTGGTGCCGCTGTCTGTGCCTCTGTGCTTGTGCGTGAGCGCTCCTGTGTGTGGCACGGCTACACTTCAACTTGACTGGAAGTGGCCAAACCCCTTGCCAAGGCGGTTGCTGGAATTACTGCCCACCAGAGTTCCCATGGCCTCGCCAGCACTTGGTACTGTCTGTCGAGGAGAGGGGGGGAGAAGTATGATTTCATTTCCTTCTCGTTCGCTTTTCCCGGCTTAAAAGTTAGGATGCCTGAGAAAAATAAACAGAATTACCATAGGATCCAGCAAGTCCATTTCTGGGTATGGACCCAAAAGGGCTAGAAGCAGGGTCGCTAAGAGATTTGCACACCCGTGTTCAGAGCAGCAGTGGTCACAGTAACCAAAAGGTCCGTCGATGGCGGAATGGATGGATGAAACAAATGCGGTCTGTCGATATAGTGAAATACTACTCAGCCCTAACAGAGAAGGAGATTCT